CTTATCCATGTCTTTGCGTCCGAGACTAGTAACGATTTTATTGTGCGAAAATATTTCAGAGGGTTTCAACATGTGTTCATGAGCGATTGCGTGAAAGGGTACATGTGATGTGTGCGCCACTAAACGCATAAGTAGACGTGTCTGCAACTTTCGGAGGGCTCTGTCTACTGGCGCACGAGTCTGCCCTCTCTGCTGCCTCTTCGTGGACAGGAAGGTTGGCCAAATTCTGACCGAGTGTTTGGCGGGAGGCGCAGCTTTGCTCTACTCTTGACGAACAAAACAGGACCTGTCCTCGGCGGAGGAGATGGTATTTTGGGGAGTTTCGCCACGAGCCGATTTACGACGCTACTCGATGCTTGTTGGCATGTCCGGAAAGCACGAAAAAAAAGACTTACTTTTTTGCCTAATACCTCTATTTCATTGGCGTCTATTCTCATGGCTGGAGTATACATCAACTGTCGATGTTGGTTTGATCTTGTTTATGCAACTTGGTCGGAGCGAAAGAGAGACCTTGCGAAAAGTACCATGTCCTGCGTCCTCTGCCACAGTATTCATGCTGATTTCCAGCATCGGATCGTTGCCTTGGTATGTACCGAATATGTATGTATGTATGAATGGGGAATGTACTAGGTCAACTGTTCGCTGCTGGAAATCAGCGTGAAGGCTGTCACAGAGGATGCAAGACTTGATACATTCCCAAACGTCTCCCTGTTACCTTGACAAAGCTGCAAAAGTAGACTGCAACCAAAAAAATAGCCAAGCTATCTTGTTCTTCATGTCTAGGCTCAAGTATCAGCGGCTTAAAATGCAATTTTAGGTATCTAGACAGCAGCAGAAAGGGTTCTTCTAACGCTGGTTTAGAGACAAAGATCCGTACTTTAGGTCTATTATAGATGAGGCTTCATCTCAAAGAGCCCTTTCGGTTGGTATCGGACCGACAAATCAGACAACAAAACTCACATTTGAGACAATCTTTCGTTCACAAAGTAGTGTGATCCGAATTAATCGGAGAAAAATTGCCAATGAAACCCCGAGCTAGGCAATTGCAGTACTGTGGGGTGCATTTTGACAGGCTACAGAGCGAAAGATCAATATGATATAAGTGGAGTTGGTTTGAGGACGAGAGAACTTATCATACATTATTATCGATTTACTGTCGCAATCACTCCCTTGTCTAGATATCCCTGGAAAGCCAGTAGCTAATAACAACTCTGTTCAGTCATGGCAACCGAATGAGGTTTGGGCCGGCTTCTGGAGATGAGAAGAGTGTTGAGGCTAGCATTTCCTCTCGAACCGGTCATCTCAGCCCTACTGTGGATCTGGAGAATTTTGACTTCATCGACTCGATAGGCCGTTAAGCATTCTGGCGAAAGTATCCGCATCCGAAGTCGGCATCCAAGCATCCCCACTGATCACTAACAGGCACCAAGTGTGTGTGCTCAGGATTTCTACGATCTTATTAAGTTATGCTTTTGTGAAGAGGAGTTGGGTTTCGATGACTCTTTGTATGAAACTTGTTTAGCTGTCTCGATGGAATCTTCTTGAAATTCTGACAAAAAAGTAATACACTTTCCGTTTGTTAGTATGTTTTCGAAACTACCAGTATACCATGGAGTATATTCACCCTATTTCGTCTAAGGTGATAAAGGGAATATGGTTGAATTTTTACTACAATGATGTGAGGAGACCTTTAATTAAATTTTACATAGCCTTGTCTTCCGTGATGAAAACACCTTTGTGAAATTCTATGGAAAAGGGAAGCCTATTTGTATGATTGGGGGAAAATTCGTCTAGCAGTCCTTATTCATCTTAAACGAGATTGGGTCCGTCAACTGACGTACATCAACATAGTGAGGTGAATTCCCTTGACTCGTTAACGGCTCTGATGGTGCCTGCCGAATGGTAAGACAGGCGAAAGCTTGGCAATTTTTCACCGGAATCAAAGTCAAATGGCAATTGGCCAAAAGAAATCGCCCTTGTCTTCTGGTGGGATCGAGGTTGAAATCCACTTCTCAACACACTTTCACGTCAAATGCAAGTGAGGTGAACAGTTAAGCTCTTGCATACGATGTTCCCGGTATCGGGGTCAAGCAGTGAAGGCGTGCTCACGTACACTACGAGGTGGGATAACTGGGCTGATTGTACGAAAGATTGTACCAGACTGTACTTGCTCATCTGCCCCAAAGACTCAAAGTCCTGAGCATGTGCAAACAAGACAGACTATACAAAAACCTTGAAACCGTCACCGCAACGGCCTCCAGAGCAGGTTGGATCTGAAGTCTACAGACTCGATTTCTGCTCCCATTTGGCCTTTGTGCGCGAGATCAGTTGCATGAACCTATTCTGGGCCCTTCTTATCACCTTCGAGGATGAATAGAAGATACTGTAGCAGGAAGGACGGCCTGCCTCCACGACCAGATTGGTTGTTTTGCCTCATTGTGGCATGATTCTTCATTTCGAAGGGAAAGTTGGTTAAAAGAAATTTGTGATGTGGTCTCACCGGAAGTAGGAGGATTGACGCGTAAAAAAGACTGCTGAATTCTGCGACCCCGATAAAATTGTGCCAAGCTTTCGTCTGCACTGTGACAGACATTATCAAAGCAATTCCAACCAACTTTCCTTTCAAAATGGAGAGTCATGCTAAAATATTCACTTAAGAAATCCTTATAAACCCAGTTTTTCTTTATATCTTCGAAGTACATACGGTTTTCATTCTTTTCGGACTTCGTCATTATATACAAAAACCAAGAAATCGTTGGCCAGGCAAGTCAATCACATTCGCTTTTTGAAAGTTTGCTCTACCCGTAGAATTATACCAAGATTTAATATTATTTCTATACCTAATTTACTTTGTAGGACTAAGACTGAACCTTTTTGACGTTTGCCATCATTTGGTTGATATTAGACTTTAGGAAAACATTGAAAAGTTACATTCCTCAATCAGAACTAAGACTAAACTTAGGCAAATTTTGGCCGATGCTCTTACCTCGGAAGACTTCCTGAATCTCCAGAGCATAGTGGATAGTTTACATGCTAAGATTTTCCGACAGGTTAGGAAGACACCTGATAAGAAATTAATAAATTTGGTTATAAGAATTAGCTTAAGGAAATGACCCACATCTAATGAATTGATGTGTAAGAATAGCCATTGCCAAAAATGGTTAAATCTGTCCAAAACTTCATTGGACTTTTCTACTGAGGAGGTCCTAGCAAACGATTTTAACTTTGCCTTTCCAAATGGTAAGGATTTTAAAGAGGTAATTTTGGTAGAATTGACAAGTTTAACGGATAGTTTCCCAGAGGATACTTGGAGTGACATTGAACTACAAGTTGTCCCTTTAATTGATGGTCATGTAGAAACACCATATAAGAATAGGACAGTTACGATTAGTATAAGGAAGCTTAAGGCGAACGAGCAACTAGTAATAAGGGTAGACAAAGGAGGAGCAGTAGTAGTTATGGTTAGGACTGATTATGTAAAGAAAATGCTAGAGGCATTAGATGATGATACAACATATGAGACTATAATTAGGGACCCGACAGAAGGCCTCAAGGCCAGACTTAAGGGACTTCTGCAAAATTGTGTAAACAATGGAGAATAGGAAAGGCGGAAAATAAATGCACTTCTCCTGCGAGATGCTAGACCCCCAAATGCGTATGATCTACCCAAAATCCGTAAGCAATGTACTCAACTTAAGATTACTGAAAATGGTAAAAGTAGTGTAATGTATAAAACATCACGATTTATATGTTCTCAGCTAAAGCAAATCTCCGAAACTTGGAAAATTTCTGTTAAGAATTCCTATGTCTTTATTAATTAATTGATGTTCAGACGATGGAAAGAGGAGATTTGCTGGTAAGTTTCGATGTAGTGTCTGTGCACACTAATATTCCGATAAACGAGGAAATGAAGGCGTTAGAAGTAACTGTAAAACAGCACCCTTAAATCATAACAGGTAAAAAGTCAAGCAAATTTTAAATAATTAAATAAGTAAATTTGGCAATGTTTAATACATATTTTACCTTCAATGGTAAGCTGTATGATCAGACACGAAATTTGGCCATGGGATCTTGCTTAACCCCTATTTTAACTAATAACTACATGACCCAATTAGAAATTCGCGTGTTTCAAGAGACATTCCTAGTTCCAAAGTTATTAGTTCGCTATATTGACGATTACATTGCTGTTTGGCAACAAGGCAAAGGGAATTTTGGGGAGTTATATGAGCTAATAAATAGAATAGATGCAAATAATAAGTTTACCATGGAGTTGGAAATAGAAAATAAATTGTCTTTATTTGATGTATTAGAGAAAAAAGAAGGTAATAAGGTAGGTAGAGACGCGCATAGGTAAACCACTCAAGCGGGTTTTCTTATTAATATATTCTCGAACCATACAAATAAAGTAAAAATAGGAGCTATGAAGTTTATGATAGTAAGTAGTCTGTGTCTAGCAGATGCAAACCATAGGGGTCAGGAGATTGGTAGATTGAGGCATATACAGTTCCAAAACAATTACCCATTAGGATTAGTAGACAATTACATATCAATTGTAGTTAACAAGATTAAGGGAGTTTGCTATCAGGCGCGGGATATAAAACTGGACAATTCTCCTTGGTTCCTGATTTTGCCTTCCTGTCAGCAGCTCCTTCGCTTAAGGAATTTTCAGATCCTCTTTCTGGATCAGGCTGTTGCAAGGTTTTGTGCCCATGTGTCAAGGTCTATGGGAGGGAGCCCTGCCGTTTCACCCAGAAGTGACTATGCGAACACATAACCGCCTGTAAAGGTCCGTGGGTCCAAAAATCTGAGCTCGCTGAACACATGACCAATTCAGGACACTCAATAGACCCGTCCAAAACACAACATTTTGCGGGTTATAGGGACTTCACATCAAAGCGTATGATTAGGGAGTCTATAGAAATTAACAAAACAGTCAACGTTTTGAATAGGAGGAATGGGTGTAGGAAAGTAAGTAGGAACTGTTTGTGGCTGTTGAATAGACTTAAGGAAAGAGAGAGAGGGGGTGCAGGAAGAGCTACTGAGCAAGAGAAGAAGGCTGGATTAGCCTCATGGCTAGCTAGGACTATCATATTACTCATGACATGAGCATTACATACACACAATAGACAATAACACAAGCCCAAACATGATTCAACATTAGTTTATTTTTGTAATGAATATCTGCTCGAGAAAACACTTCTCGTTGGGTAAATGTACTTGAGTCATTCGCAAGCATGTAGAGTAAGGCTGAAGTAGCCAACCAAATCATGGGATGCTTCATTAAGATCGCGACGTTAAGTGAATAAAAAAGCGACTAGGGTTGCAGCCAGCCACCTATTTTCTTGGTTTAGTATATTTTTGCTCTATTTCGTGAAGTATGGATACCTGCTCTGATGATGTATGTCACAGGAGAGATGAAAGCTTAGGGCAGTTTCGTCACAGGACGGTGAGCCTATGACTTCTTCGCACAATCCAACAGTCTCTCCTACGCGGCAATCCTCCATGGGTTTCCGATGAGACCACATCACGAATTCCTTCCAACCAACTTTCCTTTCGAAATGGTCAATCATGCCATAATATTTCAATAAGGAATTCTTCGAAACCCAGTTTTTCTTCGTGTTTTGTCTCGCCTCCCTTTAGGCCTATTATATGATGACAAAGTTGACGCCTTATATCGAGGATGAGTCGTTCCCTTCTTTTCTCCGATAACGTAATCGCTAACAATGAACATCCCCAGTGTCCGTATTGCTAGCCCGAAAATCGCAAAACAGCATGGCACACAGTGCTTGAAGGGGCAGATGACTCGAGCATAGTAGTGCAAAAGCCCATGCAATAT